TTCCTGATATATAAAAATATTAATATAGTTTTTGGGTTTTAGAAGCCTCCAGAATATGATCCTGATATACTAAAAGTTTAACTGTTCCAAAACCCCCAAAATGACATTGTGTTAGTATCTCTGGAGCCATAATAGTACAATTCTTTATTCAAGGATTGCGACCAGAATATGCTATGAATATACAGGCTGCTAAACCTAATGATTTGAACTATTCTATAGAAGAGGCACGTAAATAGGAAACTAGATGAGTTATAGCCTCTGAAGATAATACTAATAGCAATAAAAATGACCAAGCTATTGCTCACTTTACTGAACAAATTGCCAAGCTCAATATTAATCTCACCGAAAAACAACCTGCTATTCCTGTTTATTATTCTAAAAACAACAACTCCTCTCACCGAGATAATAATAATAACAATAATAATAATTCTCGAGACAACACCTGCTACTACTGTAGTAACCGAAGAAACTTACATAATTATCAATCCTATAGCCGAAATAATAGATACTCCTCTAGGAATAATCAATCCTATGACAAATTCAGATCTCGCAATAGAGACAGATCTAAAAACAGAGATTATGACCGAAGAAACAGATTCAGAAGCAGAAATCAATCTTATGATAGATATTATTCTGACAACTGTTCTTCTTATGACCAGAACCATAGGTCTAGAAGCTGATCCTCTATCCTCTACTCTCAAGATATATACACTGCAAATATAGCTAATAACTACAGCTATGAACAATTTGAACAATTTTTAGTCAATGAATTCATCAGAATAGCCTTAGCTAGTTACTTCACAGTGTTTCTAACCAGACACAGATACCAACTTACACTACTCCTATTAAGTATAATATTAAACTTAGAAACAGACCTTACCATATTATTGCTAATAGTGGAGCTGCAATTAGCATAATTTTGTACAAAGTTGTTAAAGAACTTGGCCTAAAAATCGAAGCCTTCTCTATATCACCAAAATTTGCAAACAGCTTATAATCAATTATAATCAAAAAATTATCATCGATTAATAGCACCCCTATTGAGTATAAACAATTGCGATTATTAACGATATTAATCAAAAATTTATAAATTATAATCAACTTTGACAATGATTTTCTCAATAACTAGTAATTAAAATTAGGGCAGTGTTATTTATCATCTGATTTTTTTTTATCAGAGGCTTACCCCTCTCCTTCCTCTTACTATATATCTTAATCAGGTCTTTATATATAATTTTAAATTTTTTACCTCCCTTCTCTCTAAAAAATCACCTGATTTTTGTCATGTCCCTTAGCTATAATTTTTATTGAAGATAGTATTAATATTCCTCTATAATATATATAAATTTTATCCAAATTGGTCAAGTAGTTCTTGAGTAATCACGTCTATACAATAGTTAATTTTTTTAAAAAATTAACTATCGTATAGAAGCAATTACTCAATAACTACTTAACCAATTTGGATAAAATTTATATATATTATAGAGGAATATTGATACTATCTTTAGTAAAAATTTTAGCTAATTCTAATTACTAGTTATCGAGAAAATCATTGTCAAAGTTTGATTATAATTTATGAAATTTTTAATAATCGATATTAATTGATTAATGATTTATATTGGTATTAATTGATATATATCTATAATCGAATATAATTAATAGTGTTTCTAATCAATTAGTAACCCCTCTATTGATTGTAATCGATTAAAATTTATTGATACTAATCGATTAACTTGATTATAATCGTTATTAATCCCCTCAAAAATTTTCTGATATATAAGTTTAATTGTATCAGCTACTAGACCCTCAACTAGATCTCTAGGAATTATTGAAAACTTTTCAGTAGAAATTGAAGGAGTTACTATTTCTCTTGATATAGAAGTAATAGATGCTGTATCTTATTCCTTGCTTTTAGAAAATGACTAGTCACAGAAAGTTGAAGCCAGTTATAATTAGAAAAATAAGGCCTATACTATTAAGTAGAATAAAAAAAAGATTTATATTTTAACTATCTATGAACAACACCAACCTTTGCTAGCTCAACCAACAGTAACTGATAAAAGAGATCTAGCCCAATTCAAACAGAAATACCTTGTTTCTAAAGAAGCTTATACTGTTAACTCTGTAATAACTACTGATAAAAACCTATAGATTACTCAGACCTTCAGAACTAGATGTAGAACTCAACAAGCACCCTCTAACAGAACATGCTGAGGATGTAATTCTACAACCCATCTCTTTGCTGACTACTCTTATAATCAATGTTATCACTGCTATCAATATGGACATATCTCTGTCTTTTATAGAAACTGCTCTCAGAATAAATACTACCAATATAATCAATATGGTTATATTAGTATTGATTGCCCTCTTGTCTCTATCAAGTTGGATAATCAAAGATATAGATGTAGATATTCTTTTGATGAAATGAATGAACAATGGCAAAGCTATTACTCTTGCAAAAGAGTTAACCATTGTTACCAATACAAAGTACCTCAGAAACCAGAAGACCTTAGATTGCTAGACCAGACTCTAGTTTGTAGAGCCTGTTAGACTGACTTTTATCATGAA